CCGGGTTTCCTAATTCAGTTTGTCCTCCATCCCAACCCTTCGGGGCCTTTGTTTCTAGCCAGTGGGGATTCTTAAAAGAATATATTGCTCAAGAAATTTATATTAATTTTTAATTTCAATAAAGAACAAAAGACTAAAAATGTGTTTTTCTGATTGTTGTAGCTTTATTTAAAAGATTTAGCAATTCTTGATCAGAAATCACTCATGCCACATTTATTACAGTATTTATTCTTTTGCTTATTTATATATTTTTTAAACATAATGGAATTATATTCACAATAAGTTCATTACAAAAGATAGAATATTTGGAGATCTTGGTTTAGTCTGATAAGTGCTGCAGTTGCATTAAAGTAACAAATTAACAGATGAATTAAAAACCATAAGTACTGCTCACCATTTTCCAGGAAATGGGAAAGAATACACTGGCTCTAAATTGACATAAAGGAGCCTAGGTGGCACTGTTGGTTAAGCATTGGACTACCTAGCTACTAGGTCGGTGGTTCAAACCCACCAGGTGCACTGTGGGAGACCAATGAGTCTGTCTGCACCTGTAAAGATGTGCAAAGTCGGTGAGTTTTTGTTTTTGGAAATCAAAGTAAAGGCCACAAGATAAAGAATTAAGTCTCTACTAGAGGCTGCTGGAGAATTAGGACATCAGAGCATACCTTTTATAGAGCTACAGGAAAGCCCAAGCCTTCAACTATCAGTGAATGTGTGTCTCTGAGGAACAAGGGCTACCATCTCCCTGCCTTTCTTTCTTTTTAAGCAGACTGCCAAATTGGAACTTACTTTCTAATGTAATTTGTGTAAGACATGTTGTCTATCTTGGTAAATTACTCTTGCTGATAGATTTTAAGTAATGATGCTAAAGATTTAATCAGATCCTGTTTCTTGATTGTTGTAATTTTATATGACAAAGGAGGTAAAAATGGAGAAAATAATGTTAAAGTTTTCAGAATTTGGTGTCAGCAGGCTTGGGCTCTGACAACTAATTATTGTTTAATCTATTTATCTTATGTTTGGCACCTTTAGGTAACTAATTCTAAATTAACAAGATTGTTTCGAAGGAATTGCAGTGACTTGGCTTCATTCTAAAGAATCTAGCAGATTGATATAATGTTGAATCTAGAACTACAGTTAATAATAATTGGGAAACTCTCAATTCAACATAATAAATTACACAAATGATTAAATAAGTTTTAAACACTTTTTTAGTAATTTCATCCACAAGAGATTTTACTAAGCAAAAGACCTATACAAAGATCTAAAAGTATTCATTAAAGTTAGAGAAGCAAAAGCTACCCTGTTTCCCCGAAAATAAGACAGTGTCTTACATTAATTTTTGCTCCCAAAGATGCGCTAGGTCTTATTTTCAGGGGATATCTTATTTTTCCATGAAGAAGAATATGGTACACATTTTTTGTTTATTGTTTCATTAAAAGAGACCTCACACTTCCTGTCTGCTCCGGCTGTGCTGCAGCCAACAGTGAGCTGCGTGGCGGCGCCCGCCGCTGCAGTCCAGAGTTACAGTAGCCTTGGGGGGCCTTATTTTCGGGGGGGTCTTATTTTCAGGGGATGCCTTATATTTCAGCAAGAGGCAAATTTGTAAGTAGGTCTTATTTTGGGGGGTGTCTTACTTTTGGGGAAACAGGGTATTACTAAGATATAATAAATATTTTTTATATTAATGTATTTGTGTATCTCCTTGTCTTTCCCTAACACGGTTTTGAGTTATACATCTTGATTTTATTCTATCTTCACGATCTTAAAAATAAATCTTAAAGTTTGTCATCGCTTTTAATAATTTTCTAAATTATTTAAACACAATACCATAATCAATTTGGATGAACTCCAACATCTTTTAAGAGTCGAGGCATCTATACAGATATGATACCATGTTTCTTGATCATTTGCATCATGGTCCCTATATAAGCCCTGTAGACATTTTATAATTTGGTTTTTCAGTCTACATAGAAGTCTTTAACTCATGACTGGCTTTCTCCTTGTTTATAGTACTGATTGGGAAATAAAGATTTAAGAGGTGCTCTGAAAATAACTTCAGATTTTAAAAGAAGGACTCTACCAGTTAACCTATGAGTTTCCCTGATGGACAGGCCCTGGAGAGTAGCTCCAAGTGTGAGAAAAGGATGGCAGTTTCTTGAAACAGTGACAGTAGTCACCAAGTCAGAGGTCATCTTCAAGTATACAGAAAGTAGGAAGGATTCAGACTTGGGAATGGATATTTTAAGTCACTATTATTAGTACAACACAGTTACTTGCAAAGATGTTATCTTAAAGGGAAATTTATCCTCGGTTAAAAAACAACAGTACTTAGCCAGATTAACTTATGATGAATGTAACTTCAAAAAGGTTCTGTCTAAAGTCTCTTTTCCAGTTGATGTTCACGATAAAGCATGGTTGGGGTCATTAGTTCCTCCATTTATGATACATGTAATTTTTGTAAACCTCTAAAAAGTAGAGTAAATAAAAATAATGGATTATTCTTTTACATATTCCTGTATACCTTCTCCATATACACATGTGTTTTATTTGTATACATATGCATACCTCTTTATAATTTTTTCAAGCAGGATAAATCATTCTCTATATACTTTAAAAAAAATTTTTTATATTATTAGGTGCTCTTACAACTCTTATTACTATCCATACATATATCAAGCACATGCTAAATTAAGGCATGATCTCTGAGGTTAGGCCGGCAGGCCCGGGGAGTGAACACAGGGGACCCATTTTAAGGTAGCATTAAGATTCAGAATGGACTCCATGCTTGGAGCTGTAGTTAATCACAGGGAGGCTCCAGAATCTAACTTAGTCAGTCTAGACCCGGGCTAGCAAACTGCAACCGTATGCAGCTTTTTCAGTATGTACTGTGGCTGGCCTGAGTAAAAAGTGGAAAATGAAAATAAAGCTCTACTTTATCCTAGATTGTGGGCTATAGTACAAACATTTTTTGGCTTACCAAAATTAAAATTAATTTTAATTGCCAAGATTGGGTGGGTAGGGTTTGCCTTTTTCTCATAAAAGAGGGCAGTAAGCCAAATAAGTTTGAGGATCTGAGGTCTAGAGTTTGGTAGCAGATGGCAGCTTCAATAATGTATCAATTGCTGGCACTAAACTGTTGATTGAATTAATTTAATGAATGCATTTTCTTCCCATGTGATAGAAGATGCACTGGAAGAAAAAGATGAAAGTTAAACAAACCTTCATATTAAATAAAATACCCCAAAAAAACCCACAAGTATAATGTAATGCTAACACTATCAGGATGCTACCATAAAAAAGCAAAATCCATAACATTCCACAAGATGCATGGAATCTTGTTCTGTTATCTTAGGACTAGATGTCTACCACATATGTCATCTACTTCTGACTATTAAGGCATCTTAAAGTGAATTTTAGCCCTCCAGAGGATAGACAAGCCCAGAGGAGTGTTTTGGCCTTCTCTAGTTGTCATAAGTGGATCCAGCAGTACATAGATTAGTAAGAAGAGCTAGGCACAACCAGATTTCCATGAAGTTTAGTGAGTCTTTTAATTGATGTCTTTTTCAATATGCATAGCTTCCTTGGGCAGTGATAGATTGGAGATTAATTCAAACTCAGTTCAAAGAGACTATAGAGGAAAATGTCTCTAAACATAATAACATTGTTCTCAAAGAGCTTCAGCTATATTATACAATAATCTTGAGAGATAAAACTGTATAATCAGAATATGAAATAACATCATGCTTGGTAAAGTGGAAGGTAAGGTCTAAAAAGTCAAAAGCATGGTTTCTGAAATTATACCGAGTTTAATTACAATGTGCTTAATAACATGTGCTTTGATGACTTTGATCCCAGAGTTCTCTCTTTTATAAGTCCTGAGTCATAATTCAATGGTAGTGAGAATGAGCAGGCATCACCAGAAGATTGAATTTTGAGCCTAATAAAATGGTAAATTTTGCTTGTGTTTATTCTTGCCATCAAACTTAATGCTTCCTGTTCTCCATGTGTCTGATATACAGAATAATAACTGAAGACTATAAGCAGACCATGGATTACATCTGAAGTGTCAGTGTTGACATAGCTGCCCACAACATTACTTAATAAAACATTGGCTACAGCATAGCTTATTGCTATGATCCAAAAAGTCATTATAGTGAGATTTTCCCTGTACCGCCTTTCTCTTAACCTTAGGATTATTTCTTCAAGGAGAGGTCCATGATGAATGAAGGCTTTGCAAAAATGGTTACTATAATAATTGAGACTGTTACTAGTTTCTTTGATATCCTGGAAGCACAGCACTAAATGTATCTATTTTTGTTAGTTTACTTGAACTTTTTCAAAGGAAGTACATAAGAGCAATACAACTTTAATATATTAAAGGGTATAAAATATCAAGTATTGATTCTTTTTTTATCAGTTTCAGTAATAAAATTTTTTAAAGATCTTTTATATCTGGAAACTAAAAACAAGGAGAGTTTCTCCCAATTATAATGTGTACATACAATTGAGCTGAGCTATTACTATTCTTTATAGTGTTTATCTGTGTGCACGCTACCCAGGTATTTTCTTTTTTGTTCTCTTTTGGAAATCACAGTATGTATTCCAACTCAGAATCCTGTGTTAGTCACTATTACCCTCTCAAAGCAGATTTCAGAATATAGAGGCACAGACTTTTTTCAGGCAGCACTTGAAGTTTTTCCAAATTATAACTTTGTTAAAAAAAGAAATTAATAAAACTTTGCTAACTTTCTCGATTTTACTGACACTTAATTTAGTACAGAAATAGATAGTAGGGTCTTATAAACACTTTAATTGAAATTTTTATAGCCAAAACTGTAAGTACTTTCAATATCCAAAAATACATTTTAAGATCCAAAAAGCTTGACATAGCAGAAATACACGTCACAAGGCATATTGATTACATCCTCTAGTATAGGAAAAATATTTTCTTTGGGTTAGTCTTAAAAGTTTCTGGCTTACCAAAAACAACCACCACTACCACCTGCTGCCATTGACTCAATTCCAACCCCTAGTCACCCGAGAGGACAGTCAGGCTGCGCCACAGGGCACCATAGCAGTCTAACACGCACCCACTGCACCTCCAAGGCGCCTTTCCTCCTCACACACAATCACTGCTGTGTTTTTCATTATGTTTGAACCTGGGTTTTTTGTGAATAAATTATATTAAATCCAGCGCGAAACATAAGATAGATTTTTAATTGGAAGTACAATGTGAATGCTCTTTAATTTCTGCCTTCTAACTGCTGGCCTTGTGATAGCAGCCCAAGACATAACCCAATACGCCACCTGGGCTCCTCCTTTTATCCTTAGGATTCCATAATTGTATGCTTTAAAGCATCATCTTTGTAAGGAAGTATTTTATGGTTAGAGGACAGGAGAAAATTTTTAGTTTTTTTGTTTGTTTGTTTTCAGAAAATGCTTATTTTGCTCCTGATATCCAGAGAGCAATTTGTGTTATTTAACGAAGCATCCTCCCCTGCATTCTCCCTCCTGTCACTAATCTGGATATCTGGAATGCGGACTCAATGCTGCAGCAGTCTATAAAACTTCCTAACCATTCTGCATTTGGTTGCTCAGCTTCCTAAGGGCAACATTTCTGAACTGAAATAAAGTGAAAACAATTCTGGTGAAGAGAGCATGGCATAGCTTCTAACTGGATCTGGGTGTTTTTGACTGTGTCTTTCTATTCAAGGTTGAAGAGATGGTACAGAACCACATGACCTACTCATTACAGGACGTAGGTGGAGATGCCAATTGGCAGTTGGTGGTAGAAGAAGGAGAAATGAAGGTAAATCCCGCTGAATAATTGAGAAACCAATCTGGAAATGTTATCCTATGTTTTGAGGAAGCACCAGCTATCAAAAGTCCAAATTTTGGTAAACATAATAGTGGGGCAGGAGGACAAAAAAAAGAAACAGGGAAAGAAGAAAATATATGTAAATATAAATATGTATAATTGTTTATATATGTTTATATATGCAAATGTAACAAGGAAGCAGATGGACTTTGGGCCTCTACTTAAATCTTACTTCAGTACAAGAATGGTTTGTTCTAATAATATGACAGTGTATGATACTCACTTTCCTGACATGATTGCTAAAGACATAATGGGTGCATAAGCAAATGTGAAGAAAGCTGATGGTGCCTAGCTATTGAAAGATATAGTGTCTGGAGTCTTAAAGGCTTATAGCTAAACAAGGGGCCCTCTAGCAGGGAAGCAAAAAAGCCCACATAGAAGAAGCACACCAGCATGTGTGAGCATGAGGTGTCGACGGAAAAAAGCTATCAGAAGTTCATAAACAAGCAATCACATCAGTGCCAAGAGGCAAAATCCACCTGTAAGATAATTGGACAGTCCCTCTCAGAAGGGTCACATGGAAGGGATGATAAATCCAGGGTGCGGTATAGCACTGATGAACCACATAACTGTCCTCTAGTTCTTTATATTTCCTCCCCTTATTATTACAGTTTTTATTTGTGTTACCTCATTAACCATGTCAGGTTTGTCAGTTCATTTGTATATTTAAGATCTTTAGATAGATAGCCAAGAGAGAGAATCCTTCAGAAACAGTAACAGGAGTAAAGGTCCCCTCAGGGTACGAGAAGAGAGGAGTGGGGAAGGGGGAAATAGGTTGCTGACAATATTGATGACTATATAACTCCACTCAGTGGGATTGAACAACAGAATTGTATGTGAATGAATATATTGGATATATTGTATGTGCAAGATACGGCTAAATAAATAAATAAAAAGGGTTCCTGGGGGATATGTTTTGTTTATATTTTTATGTATGTTTCATTCATTATCTGTGTCAATAAATTGGTTTTGATTTTCTGTTAAATGTTTCATAGATATTTATAAATAAAATTCTAAAAGGCAGCTAAATTTGAAAGCAAATGCAAGTCTGCTCTCATATGTACTTTTGTGTTCTTAAAATTTATTCTCTTTTAGGTATACAGAAGAGAAGTAGAGGAAAATGGAATTGTTCTGGATCCTTTGAAAGCTACCCATGCAGTTAAAGGTGTTACAGGACATGAGGTCTGCAATTACTTCTGGAATGTTGATGTTCGCAATGACTGGGAAAGTAAGCTGCTGTTATCAATATAGTGATTCTAATTTTTATTTTAATTTAAATCCAACCTGGCTTTCTATGTCTGGCCTGCATCCTGACTCACAGCGACCCTTCAGGACAGAGAATCCTGAGGCTGAGTCATCTTTGTCCTGGGGAGCAGCTGTTGGATTTGAACCTCTAGCCTCATGATTAGCTGCCAAATGTGTAACCTTTTATGCCACCAGAGCTCCTTAAAGTACTAATAATACTTAATGTAGAGTTTTCTGTTTAAAAACGCTTTCCTAGTATATCTCACTTAACCTGATACTTGGTAATTCTGAATGTCAAGCTAGGTATCAGTATTTCGTTTTGCATTACAAATAAATTGAAATCCAGAGCGAGTTAGTGGGAACATGGACTAAAAGTAAAGGTTTCTGTTTTATTGGCTACTGTTGTCTACTACATTTTAAACGGGTAGTGCAGTGGTCAATGCAGTCAGCTGCTCACAAAAAGGCCGTAAGATTGCACTCCTGGCCGCTCTGCAGTTCTGCTCTGTCCTGCTGCTGTGCTGCTGGGAGTCAGAATCGACTTTGCAGCAACAGTCTTTTGGTTTGGGAACTTTTCACCTAGATGAATCCTGCTGTGGTTAGTTGACAATACTTCTTGGCATGTGTATGTTCCCGTTAGATGCCAACTTTCAAAATAAAGAAATCATCTCAACAATCGTAGATTCTTGTCTTGGCAGATTGGCATAAACAGTCCCTTAAGCCGAGGTAAAGGGAGCTCTGGCAGCGCTGAGGCAAGCATTGTACTGCTAACCACAGGGTCTGCAGTTCAAATCCACCAGAGGCTCTACAGGAGAAAGATGAGATTGCCTGCTTCCTTCCACAGAGATAGACAGCCTTGGTAGCCCTATATATCAGGTCGTTGTGAGTCAGAACTGACTCGATGGCAGTGGTTTTTGGTAAATCTATGTAGAATAATTTATTTCACTTCAATAAATAAGGGATTATAGTGAGGGGTCCTTCTTTGAGCCCATGTAAAAGAGTAGTCAGAATTGCTTTCTTGCTGTGGATGGTAGATATCAGCCCAAAGAAAAGGAGACTTCCTGGTGATCAGGCATCGCAGCCACTGTCTGTAGATCGCCTTCATAGTGTTGAATGACTTCCACTTGGTTTAGGTCAGGCAAACTTCAGCTCGTTTTACCTTCATGCCCTTTGTAATTGCCTTTTGAAATAATGTAATCACATTCTAGAAAAAAGTTGTGTATCTTTTTGGATTCTAATTTTATTCTCTTTGTTTCAGCAACAATAGAGAACTTTCATGTGGTGGAAACATTAGCTGATAATGCAATCATCGTTTATCAAACACACAAGGTAAAAATCTCTTCACCCTAAAGAATTCCAATATAATTCAAACTCATATTCATAAATCCTCTAAACTAGAATTTGACTAAAAATTACTTGCCACAAAAGATCCAGAGTTAATGAGTACTTCATGAATGCCATATATTCAAAAGATATATTCAACCAATTTAGGCAAAAATGTGTGCAGGAAGAATCTGAATGAAAAATATAACCCAGAAACTGTATGCACACTGTAAGTCTTCAGCAACAAACACAAAAGCTTTTGGAATACTAAAATGAGTTTAAGTGGTTGGCTAGCAGCTCTATCAGAGACCAAAGGATAGCTCCTGAGTTGAGTATAAAAGTGAAGCCGGGCTTCCTGCGGCAGTAATGAGAAGGAAAATGTTGCTAATCCAGAAAGCAAGAGAAATGTGAAGGGTTGGTCACCAGAGCCGACAGTCACTGTAATTTAAACTAGTTCCTGTTTGCTTTATTGTACCTCGTGCTTTCCTACATTCTTCACAGTGCATAGAGCCTGCTAGTCTAGTGGTTAAAGCCTGGCTCGGGTGAGTTTGTTGCCACCAGCTGTAACACGAGAGAAAGATGTGGCAGTTTGCTTTTGTGAAGGTTTGAGCCTAGAAAATCGTTTGGGGCAGTTCCACTCTGCCCTCCAGGGTCACTTGCACATCGGAACCAACTTAACAACAGGGATCTCCCCAACACCCCCCTTTGGTGGTCTTCACCTTGTTCTGTTTTATTTCCCTCCTGGAAATTGCCAAAAACAAATTGTATATAGAACATTGAAAAGGAATTAAAATTTGGGGAAGCTGCAGCAAAAGTTTAATACTACATAAGATGGATATGTAAGATGTCTATAATTTAAAATATAAGAAATATAAAGATTCCGTTTCAGTTCATTTTTCTCTTTTAAATGATTTTTAATTGATCTGAATATATGAAAAGATAAGAAGTTTGTGTGTTCCTGTAACGTGCAGTATCATACATCTAATGACTGAATTGGGCTTTGTGTTACCTGCCAGCAGCTCTTCAAGCTGTGTGAACAGGGAGGACTGTATTTCAGCAAGATCTGCTGAGTATACTGAATCTGCTGAATATAACTGCGAGATCTACAGTTTAGAAAATGTTAATATACCACTTAATTGCCCTGAAATTTGGAATGAAGATAAATGACCACACATTTAAGCACAGGAAAGCCTTGTTATCTGAAGATGATGGGTCCCGGAAAACATTCTGCTGAAGAGACCCCCAGTATGTAGTTGGTGTGAGAGTGGGAAGGTGGCGTTAGATTCCCTTAGGATTGCTTTTTGAAAAATAAAACTAAGAGTTATTAAAGTAGTGAATCTTTAAAAAAAAGTAGTGAATCTTATGTGTAACAAGATTTTGGTCTCAATTATAAATATTTGACATTTCTTTTAGCAGTTGTCCTGACATGATTTTTTTTGCTCCAACAAGGTCAAATAATACCTTTTAACTTATTTCTCATTAAAGTTGACTTCTTTTGTAGCTGAATCTTAAAAAGCCTTTGTGCTTTGTTGGTTTTTAAAGTCATCTTCATTCTTTCACTTCCTGCCCAGTCATCATCCTTGTGGATTCCTACTTATTATTTCTAATTTGGTAAATCCTCATTTATTTATTGGCCTCACATCCGTTGGTCCAAAACCCCCTCCATTGACGCCATAAAATTTTGTATCTTAAAAAGATCACTCTGAGAGGGGATAAAGGGGAGCTGATATCAAGGAGTTCAAGAAAAATGAAAATGGATTGTCATTATGATGGCAACAATTGTACAACTACGCCTGACCTAATGGAACTATGGAATATAATAATATCTGTAAGAACTCTCAATAAAATGTTAAAAAAAAAGAAGATCACCCAGAAAGGGGAGGAAGCACTAGAACTGATTGTGATTGCACAACTCATTTTAAAGGTGATTTAACCAGGGAGGCAGGGGAGGGGACGGGGATCTTCTAAAATTGATTGTGGTAATGATTGTACGGTTATTCATGATATGATTGAACTGGTGTATGATATATAAATTATGTGCCAATTAAAACAATCATTCCACTTTGCAACCCATTTATGTTGTAATGGCACGGAGTTGTCAGCAACAATCAGCAAAACCCTGTGCGTATTAAGAAGGGAATTCAGTTACCTAGACCAGAAAACCACCGTGGCTTTTCTCTCATAAAAGTAGCTCATCCGAGTTACCAGAGGCCTGGTCTCCATGCCATTCCGTGGCATGTTTTTCCATGTGAAGCTTAAGATCTTCCAATTCCCACAGAGTTCTTTCAAATGTGATTATGATACAAAAAGACAAGTCTTTCCCCTAAAATGTTTGCTTGTGGGTTTCTGGACATATCAAACACAGGTTGTTTTGTGGACTGTGCGTAGAGCAGACATTCCCCCTGACTATAGTTCTGCGCAGACGAGCCTACCAGTTCCAAGGGATCTTGGGGGATAGTCTCAGGTTGGTGTTGGTTTATCATTGAATTTGACAGCTTCACTTTCAACTAAGATTTTCATGAGTCTTACATTGATTCCTTGTTCTAGCTCAATAAAAAGCAGTTCCTTTTTTCACAAGGTTTTACTTCTTCCACAGAGAGTGTGGCCTGCTTCTCAGCGAGATGTTTTATATCTTTCTGCCATTCGTAAGATACCAGCCTTGACTGAAAATGACCCTGAAACTTGGATAGTTTGTAATTTTTCTGTGGATCATGACAGTGCTCCTGTAAGTATAATGTATAAGTAAATGAGTTTAATTCCATAATACACTGCCAGATTAACAACGAAGGCAAAGGCAGTTGATAAACATGGACTGGATTCGATAATGCTTAGATTTTATTTTGTTTGAGATGTTTAGCTTGAGATGGTGTAGTCCACATGTGGTCTGTGAGAGCCAGAGGACTATTTCCTTTCCCCCTACGGTTAGGTGGCAAACCTGAATGGGTAGTATATACAGGCTGATACCTATGCGTGGTGGTAATTTCTTACACCATTATTAACTATTGACAAGACTGGTGTGATTTCTATTGTGGTTTAGAACTACTCACTATTCAAGTGGACGGGAAATCATTCCAAGTGTCTTATATCACATTTTCTTGGCGATGTTTGTAGGAGTTAAACTAATATAATATTAGACCAACAAATACTACCAAACAACTAGCTGCTTTGTTTTTCATATTTGATTCGATTTTTTGTATTTATATTATGCTTTGTTGTTGTTTTTAATTTTTCTTTTTTATATTTTGGCAGCTAAACAATCGATGTGTCCGTGCCAAGATAAATATTGCTATGATATGTCAAACTTTGGTAAGCCCCCCAGAGGGAAACCAGGAGATAAGCAGAGACAACATTCTGTGCAAGATTACATATGTTGCTAATGGTATGTGTTTTCCCATCTGTGTTTACTACTTGGTAATGTAGGTGTTCTCGATCTTCATAACTGACAGTTGGGATAATGTCTTTTATAAATGCCAGTTTACTTCTTCTAGATTAGTAGTTTTTAATTTGGACAGATGTATATCAGAATTATCTTGCAAACTTTTGCAAAAGACCTTAATTTTTTTAAAAATTTTATTGGGGGCTCATACAACTCATCACAATCCATACATAAATCCATTGTGTCAAACACATTTGTACATTTCTTGCCATCATCATTCTCAAAACATTTGATTTCTACTTGAGCCCTTGGTATCAGTTCCTTATTTTCCCCTCCCTCCCCATCCCCGCTCCCTCACGAACCCTTGATAATTTATAAAATTTTTTTTCATGTCTTACACTGTTCAATATCTCCCTTCACCCACTTTTCTGTTGTCCGTCCCCCAGAGAGGGGGCTATATGTAGATCCTTGTGATCGGTTCCCCCTTTCAACCCCACCTTCCCCTTATCCTCCTGGTATCACCACTCTCATTATTGGTCCTGAGGAGTTCGTCTGTCCTGGATTCCCTGTGTTCCAGTTCTTGTGTATACCAGTATACATCCTCCGGTCTAGCTGAATTTGTAAGGTAGACTTGGGGTCATAATAGTGGAGGTAGGGAGCGTGGGGGAAGCACTAAAGAACTAGAGGAAGATTGTATGTTTCATCGGTGCTGTACTGAACCCCAAGAGGCCTGGATTTTATCTCAGAACTACTGTATAAGAACTCATGACACTAGGGTGGTCTAAGCAAATTGGCTCGCTCGGCCACTTAAGAGGAAGTTTGGTGGCACCAAGAAGAAAGGCAGGGATTGAGCAGTTTGAACTGATTGAGTCAGGGACAAAAGTCAGTCCTGGGACAGACCTGGGTTTGTTAAAGTTAGCTGATGGAGACAAAAAGGATGGCCCCGAGCCCTGGAATGGGAGCTTCAGAAGAGGCTCAGTGAGCTGAGCAGGTAATATGACTGAGTATTATCAGAACTGTGGAGAATGGCACACTTTTCAAGAGCATAATCTTGGAGCCAGGCACCGTAATCAACTGCCATCTTTGAGCAATGCACCTCCGTTCTCTTCTCATCAGAGCAAGAGATTTGGGTGCTATGCAGCAAACACATTGCCCTGATCCTGTAAGATAGTGGTTCTCAACCTTCCTAATGTCGCGACCCTTTATTACAGTTCCTCATGTTGTGGTGACCCTCCAACCATAAAATTATTTTTGTTGTACTTCATAACTGTAATTTTGCTCCTGTTAGGAATCGGGTGACACCTGTGAAAGGGTCATTCGACCCCCAAAAGCGTCACGACGCACAGGTTGAGAACCGCTGGTAGAAGAGGAAGGTTAAGTTCCTAACGTGGCTATGATCCATAAGTTTTCCCATTCCAGGCAGCATTTGGTTTATCTGCATTTTAAACATTTGCATCCATTCCCGTATGTTGGCCATGATTGAACCAAGCAGAACAGATTCAGAACCCTGCTTTGTCGGCTGCTCTGCAGGAGAAAGCCTCAGAAATCCTGCAGGGCAGTTCTATGTCATGGAGGACACAGAATGAATTCTACAGCACAGCATTTTTAGGTCACTAAACACGTCCACACTCATTTGATGAGCCATTCTATTAGATTCTTGTGTCATACCATGTTTTTGTAATTATACGCAACAGTGGGGAAGGAAATTAACAGTTCTTTTTCTTATGATCAAGCTTCCTAGTTTTCTGAGTCATTGTTCCCTGGTCCTCCTTAGTTGCTACTGGGCAGCGCATTCCATCATGCCCTACCTGCATACACACTCTAACCATCCATCCTCCCCTCTCAATGCAGTGTTGCACTGCTAATATGCTTAAAGACATCATTACACCTGAATAAGTTACAGAGGCTATTTCATTATATTAGACCCTGATGAAAAATTGTCTTCTAAATAACCTAAAGTGTGTCTACGTTACCACAGGCATAGATTTTAGGGGACCAAGACCATGTAGGGAATGTAGCAAGTGCTTTCTTGTTTGCTGCTAAGTTTTTAATGCTAGGAAATCAATGGTGGAGATTTAAGGAAATTCTCATTGTAACAACTAAGGGGTTTTTGAACAGCAAAGGAATAAATTGCTATACTTGCATTTGGAGAATGACATCTTAACGGGTTTTAATTTCCCTTTGTCTCACAGTGAACCCTGGAGGATGGGCACCAGCCTCAGTGTTAAGGGCCGTGGCAAAGCGAGAATATCCCAAGTTTCTAAAGCGCTTTACTTCTTATGTCCAAGAAAAAACTGCAGGAAAACCTATATTATTCTAGGATTAACAGGTATTAGAAAAATGTGTATATTTTTTAAATCATTTTGGGGGGGGCTTTTACAACTCATTAACATTCCATACATCAATTGTATCAACTATATTTGTATCTATGTTGCCATCATTTTCTAAACATACTTTTTTATTATTATTAAATACTTTTATGGGGGGGGCTCTTACATCTCTTATCACAATCCATTCCTCCAGTGTGTCAAGCACCTTTGCACACATGCCACCATCATCATTTTCAAAGCATTTTCTTCCCACTTGAGCCCCTGATATCAGCTCCCCATTTCTTCCTCGTCCCTCCCCTACCCGCCCGCCCTCATAGAAAATATATTTTAAACTTTGACCAGTATGACTCTACAGGTATTAAAATATAGTTGTTTAAAGTAACTGCCATGCTATATCTGTAATGTTCCCAGATATAAATTGTAGCTTATTACAAACTCCTTTTCATTGTTTATTTTCTCTGCTTACGAAAAGTAATACCTGCTCTAAGAAATGTCATTAAAAATCCACAGAATTTCAGAAATGCAAATGCCCCATAATCCCTGCTTTCCCAGGACTCCTATAAGTTTGTGGTGGTAGATTTTCTCTAGACTTTTCTACATATGCGCTGACATACTTTATCAAATGAACATGGCATTAAAAGTAAATGTGTTCATCCTATGTAACTACTCCATAGCTTAATTTATTGACTTAATGATGTGTCTTGGATATCTTCCTACATAACAATTTGAGACATATAAAACTGTCTTGTTCTTTTAATATGTGCTCCATAAATGTTGCAGATCTGTTTAACCAATTCCACGGTAATATCTGGGTTGGTTCTGCATTGGTACACAGTGCTGCACTGAACATCTTTGTGCAAAGTCCTGGAATCTTATACTTAATTTTTGATAAGTGATATATTGGCATGCTTCAAAAGTATGAAACAAATTTAGAGTAAAATGTATCCCGTCCCTTATTCTCACCCTATTTTTCCACTTTGGAAAAAGAAAAGCTACTGTTCCTGGTGACTTGTCTATGTTTCCAGAGATTGTATGTTTCAGTGCCTGGACCACCAGCACATGCAAGTATCCTCCTCCTCTCACATCCCCCTTGTTGTTGTTGTTCTGCATCTCATCTTTCCATAGTAGTATAGAGCTTTCTCACATTTTTTAATGGCTGCACAGTATTACAGGGTGTTGAGTAACTTATTGAACCATTGTGCACATGCATAATTTCTTTGACCTGAATGAGCAAACGGTGTGAGCACGGCTGCTAACTGAAAGGTTGATGATTCAATTCCTAGCCTTCTGCTTCCAGAAAGATTACATCCTGGAGAACCCTGTGGAGTGCATTACTTAAATATTTAAAAGATAATACTTACACATAACAAGAGCTAGCCTCTAAACTGGAATCGAAAGCAAATTGCTGTCTTTCTATCCATCTATCTATCCATCATGTGCATGTGTGTTTCTTTTGTGGACCTACGAGAGATGGGGTTTGAAATCTTTTTCCAGAAAATTCATCTAAGAGGAGAATTGTCTGTACTTGTGCGTGTGTGTAAGGAAAGCCCTAACTGGGAAGACCTCTCGGTAAAACACAGCGAGCCTTTGAGTTTCAGTGGACTCTTTCATGACAGAGAGCTGCAATCAGATCTTCGTAGCTGACGAAAATTGGTGTATAATTGAGTGAGATTTGTCTCACAGTAACTGTTGTAGTTGTATGTATGATCCTGGTCTTTAAACTCTTAAAGCTAACAGCTTAATTTTGGTAGTGGAGAAATAGTAACTTTCAATATCAGTATCATCTTCAAATTTTGTTGAAAAGTTAACAAGGTCCAGATATGTTAGTGAACCTTACTCAAAACGTACTTGAAGGTCTGAGCAGGTTTGTTTCCTAAGACAAGGCACAGGCCTCTCTACCTTAGCTTACATAAATTTAAAAATTCTTGATAATTCATATTATATGCATAATTTGTATCTAGGGCAGAGACACCGATGCCAGTTAGTGGGGTATAAACCCAGAGTCCTCTGTGTGTCTCCTTTGCGTACCTAGACATTGCCCTCTTTGACACTTTTCTAACTTTCAAAGGGTTCCTTCCCCCTCCCCTTCTTTCTCATCTTCTGTGCTGGGAAAGATCTCAAATGTGTGAGTTGAATCACTTGACATTCAGATGGACCAAGGTCCCTTAAAGGACAAGTGCAAATAGAGGTTCTGTGCATTCCACAATGAGGAGGATGGGAGAAATCCCTTCTGGTCATCGTATAACAGTTTGTAATGACATGTTACTGAGGTTTATACTTGTCATTTTTTTTCCTGCAGTGACTGAAGCAAGGCTGTGTGACATTCCATGTTGGAGAAGACAAACACACAATTGAGTGCTCTGAGCTGGAACGTAGGATCTATAGCCTTGCTGGGGCCCATGACCTTGACCTTGTGTACAAAAATGAAATACTGCAATAGCAAAGCTGAACATCTAACACTAGCTGTCTCCTGCTAGATTACTCCTCGCTCAGCATATAACTATAAATACATGTAAAATTACATGTAGATGGCTATATTCTCATTTGCTTGCTCCTAGAAGAGGAAAAACAAATCAACTTTGAATCACATCTAGGAGTTGATGCTTTAATTTTTGGAAACTTTTTCAGAATTTTTCATTTACTTTGGCCTGGCCAGAGAGCCTCAGTTGTGTCAGGTTTTGTGTACATGCATTCTGTGCACCAAATATTCAGATGGGGATCTGTTTTCAGGCCACCAGGCAAATCTGTGTCCAGAAATTTTTGACTTTTTTGCTTTGTATAATCATAGAATTCGTTGCTGCTGATTTCTATAAGGAGTCCTGTTGTCATGTCAAATGTCTCGTATTAACTGAGGGCTGTGGTGTTTGCCTTTTTTCTGTCTCCCTCCCATGAAAAAGCTTGCTTCTGATGGAGGAAGAGGGAAGAGCTTTATTTCCCCCAGATCCTTTCTAGTTCCATTGTAGTTTTTAGTTATGTACTGTGTGCTACAGAAAATGTTCAGCTCGTTACAAACTCAGTTTGGTAATTGCTGAACTGGTTCTGCTTGCCTCCAAACAGAAACATCTGTGCAAATCGTGTGGGGCTGGGAGTGATTTCCCAGTAAAATGGTTGGGATAAAATGAGCCAGTGATTTCCCAATATTTATAAACGAATATATGGTATTTAAGCAAATCAGACTTTCAGAGGTTGAAATTGGATTCGATTCTCTCTAGTTTTCAGTGAAACAGGTATGTGAATTACTTCTGCCAGTGTGGGTCCGGCTACAGATGTATCACCAGCTGTGCAGGGAAACATGCAAGCCTTGCTCCTGTTTGCCTCAGACATTTCAGCAGAACAGTAAAGGGTTCCATTGAATGAAATTGAATTGTTTCCCTTAGTTACCCTAAGAGCTTAAATGTAAAATACCTTTCGTAGTTTTCGGTGTTTATGTCCCTTGAAATATGGAGTTGAGGCCAAAAAAAAAAAAAGGTCCTCCGTGAAGTCAGTTGACTGCCCACTTCAAGATCCAGATCGTGCTTGTACACAGCTGTGTTTCTAGGAATCTGAGGCATGTGTCGATGCGTGCTGGTTGGCTTACTCATCTCTGTGGAAACACAGCTATCAGAAAGCCATGTTCTGTGGAACATGTCCTGTATATATATTCATACAAGGTAACACAGTCTTAGTGCTAAATGCAAAGTGATAACTTAATGATGGGATTAGTCTGATCACTTAATATGCACAATCCTGGAATTGAATTACTTGCATCAGATATAGTGGTATTTATTATTCTGTACAGAGCAAAAAATGCATATAAAACATGCTTACATTACATGCACGCAGCGTTCATGCTCCGTAAATCTTTTCTATTTTTTAATTTACCTTTCTCTAAATGATGTGCATGGAATATGCCTTATTACAGAAAAATGCTGTTCATAATTTGACTGTGGAAAAGTGCCTATATGGTGGTAATGCTAGTAAGGCAAATAAGACAAATTATCCTATCAGTTTACTACATCACCAGGTAACATTTTATATTGTGATGATAAAAAGTTTATACCTCAAATGTGTATTTTATTTTGCAATCAGCTGTGGGGTTGGGATGGGCATGTGGGAGGGCTGGGGAGGGGAAGATTTATTCACCAGAGCCGCTGATGGAAATCCTCAAAAAAAACCAACCACAAAACTCTGCCCACTATAATTGTTTCTTTTTTGCCATTTCTGATAACTATCATGAACACAGACAAGTAATTTTTCATAATTAAATTGGATAGCTTTATTTTACAAAGGTATGGAAAGTTTACAAAGCAGTATCAAAATCTTAACTATCATTAATTGCATTTGCACTAAATGTGATGATGTACTTTTGCAATTCATTCTGTAAATAAAATTACACTAAAAATATTTGTATTAAAAAAAGAAGAAAAGAAAAAAATATTCCCTGTAGAGAACTGGAATGGTATTTGGCCAGAGTGAATCCCGCCCAGTCAGATGTAGCTGGGGACAGTAGGAAGGTCAGAGGAGGTCACCACTGGAGAGGTACTGGACTCTCAGACAGTACACGGAACTTCTGGAAGTAAGTTTGTACAGCTAACCCCTCATAGGCAACATCTGTGGTGTTTCCTCCTCTATAGATAACTTCCTGTCACTCCCCCAAGCCAAAAATAAATAAAAATAGCCATTTACTCTATTGTACTCAGTTACACGTTTGTGCTGTGATGGAAGTTGAAAAACGGTTGGTGAGAGGGTTTTGCCCCTAAGTGCCCCCTCCCATCCAGTGTTTCCCTGGGAATGCAGGACTCCTGACCTTGAGGTGGAAAGTGGCCTTCAGAATACTTTGTTTGTGACTACCACTGGGGCGGCCAGACCCAAGGGGAAAGTCTGAGGGAGACCAAGAATGCAGACCAAGGCTGTGGAGGGAAGCCGCTGCTGCAGTGTTTGCTGCTGCAGTGTTTGCTGCTCCTCACCTGCGTTGTCCACCTGCAGGACGGCAGCAGCAGCTGCTGTTGAGAACATGTTGGGTGAGCTGGTTCGCCTGTGACACTGGTTAGATTGCACTTTTCAGTTAATTGTCCTGTTGAACACTTCACCAGTATTTAGTCAGTTGTACAGACGATGTATTTGGATTGTTGTCCTGGTTCATCTACCAACTCGGAACCATAATCATTCTAAAGTACCTTGGAAGTATGTAACTATTCTCGAATAGCTTTATGATCCTGATGATGTTTTTAAAAAATAATAAAGGTAAATCTTCCATGTTGCAATCACAAGATTAAAACCAGTATTTAAAAGTGGAAAAAGTATTAAAAGTATTATGGACAAAAGTGCTTGCTTGACTGTGTTTCTCATTAATACCAGAGTGCCGCCCGCCCCATATCATCCTGTATGTGAATGAGAGGTGAAAGCACTTGGATGTGAGTGTTCCCCAAACTGTAGGTTATGAACTGATGGCCCAGCCAAACTCACTGCCATCAAGTCAATTCTGCCTCATAGCGACCCACTAGGGC